AAAAACTTGGTGTAGGCAAATGCATAGAGATTTGAGCATGACAGTTTCAAAAAAACAGCTTGCCCTAATTTCACAATTAATAAAGGACTATTACATTATACGGTTACCTTAGAAACCCTGATGTATACATTTTTTTCTGATTTCTATTTTCTTTAATTTGTTTTAACAGTGTATTATCAGTGTGTTGTCAGGTCAGCTGCATGTTCTCAGACAGAATAAAAACTGTTGGTGATGACTTTTAAAGCCTGTTGTTTACATTTAGTCCATCCCATCTCTCACTTTTTGTGTGCCTTCAAATCAATTCTAATTTATGGAGACCTTATCATAGGATTTTATTAATAAAATTTATTCAGAAGAGGTTTGCTGTTGTCTTTATCTCAGTCTGAGAGTGTGTTACTTGCTCAGGGTCCCCCAGTGGGTTTTGCTTGGCTGAGCAAGGATTCAAACTGGACTTCCAGAGTCAAATCATTACAAAGCCATGGCTCTGCTTTTACAGTATTGGGTCAATATTCTGACAGGTATTTGAACTACTGGGTTGAGGATTTTCTTCTAGCTATTTTGTTTCTGTGCTGTTCCCTTTCCTTTATCTACTGCTCACGTTTCTGAATCCAAGGCTTTGTTGTCTATACTGTTTCTATTGGATTTGATAGTTATTAAACAACTTTAAGTCATCCTGCTAATGCAAATACAGTGGAAAGGTAAAACATAAATAAAAAGACTGAATGTTTATTTGTAGAAAAGACACATATTTGTGGCCAAATCCAAAATAAAGGATAGGTATCAAACTTCATGCAGTCATGCTGGCCACATGACCTGGGAGGTGTCTACGGACAATGACGGCTCTTCGGCTTAGAAGTGGAGATGAGCACCACCCCCAGAGCTGGACATGACTAGACTTAGTGTCAAGGTGAAACCTTTACTTTTAACTTTATCAAGCTCAAATTGGCTGCAGGGACAAACTCTTCAGCATTTGCCCAAAGAGCCACAACTTTTCAAAAAACTGCCCTTGAACTTGGCATTGAAGTATCAATTCTATAAAATGATGATGTCACTCTGTAAGTTATTCTTGTATAGTAAAATTTTGTGTGTCAGACAAAGGTATCAGAGACTGAGGTGAAACCTTAATATCTTCAGAAATATAAAAACTCTTAATAAATAGCGACTTGAGGTACCCACTCCCACTCAATGTAATAAAGTATTATCCAATGTAATAAATGATTAGTAATCCATGAAGACAACATGCTCAGTGGCAGTGGAATGCTGGTGGTCAACAATAATCTGAAAGAAGGGAGGCCTGATTGAAATACTGAACTGAGGTATTCCACTACGGAATAATTCCTTGGCAGCCAAATAAATTGTACAGATGGAGCATCTCTTATCTGAAATTCTGAAATCCAAAATATTCTAAAATCCAAGTAATCCAGATGGATGGCTGAGAGAGTGACATCTTTGCTTTCTGATATGAGTACAATTTGTGTCTCATGCACAAAATTCTTTTTGAAAATTAAATTATGTGTATAAGATATATGTAAAGCATACATTAATCTTGGGTCCCATCTTCAAGATTATGTATATGCAATTACTCCAAAACCCACAATTTGGAATACTTCTCGTCTCAAAACATTTCAGACAAGAAATACCCGCCTTGTATAAAAATTAATGGAGTTGTAGCAACTGTAATTCCTGCTCAGCTTTTGGTACAGGTTTTGAAAATTTGAATTTTATAGCAAAAGAATAAATATCCTCTGCACATTTTTTTACTCCAAAAATTTGTTCAGATTGATTTGCCACCTTTTGGAAACAAGCTCCACAATGGACTCTCAGTGGTAGATCTCAGAGATCTAATTTTATAAAAAGTATTTCATACTGTTCTAGAATGTGGTTTTTTACAATGTGGGGTATTTAATACGTACTACTGGGAGGCATGCATAAGATTAGCAGAGCATTGTTGCCAGACAGTTAAGTGTGATGACCAGTTTAGGCAGGAGGAGGAAAGGTGAGGATATCAGTACTGAGGATAATGCAAGGATATCAATGCTCTTAGAGGTATCAGACATGTGGGTTTGTTTTGAGGTTTTTTGTTTGTTTGTTTGTTTGTTTTGTCATGTCAGGAGCATCCTGTTGTGAGAGAATTGGCCGTCTGCAAGGACTTTGCCCAGGGAACGCCTGGATGATTTTGATGTTTTATCATCCTTATGGGAGACTTCTCTCATGTCCCCGCATGGGGAGCTGGAGCTGATAGAGGGAGCTCATCCGCCTCTTCCCAGATTCGAACCTGCAACCTGTCGGTCTTCAGTCCTGCTGGCACAGGGCTTTAACCCACTGCGCCACCGGGGGCTCCAGACATGTGGGTGACATTGTAGACAGATGCACAAAACTGTCTACAACTTCACCCACAAGGAACTCTCTGGAGAAAGCACTGCTCTTTGAAGCATATCAACGGTTTATACCAAGCATGGGCCAACTTGGGCCCTCCAGGTATTTTGGACTTCAACTCCCACAATTCCTAACAGCCTCAGGCCCCTTATTTTTTCCCCCTCAGCCACTTAAGTGGAAAAGGAAAGGGAAAAGGAGGGGACCTGGGGCTTTTACCATTTGGGAGTTGTAGTTACTGGGATTTATAGTTAACCTACAATCAAAGAGCATTCTGAACTCCACAAGGATGGAATTGAATCAAACTTGGCACACAGAACTTCTATGACCAAATGAAAATACTGGAAGGGTTTGGTGGGCATTGACCTTGAGTTTTGGAGTTGTAGTTCACCTACATTCAGAGAGCAGTGTGGACTAAAACAATGATGGATGTGGACCAAACTTGGCACGAATACTCAATATACCTAAATGTGAACACCAGTGGAGTTTGGGGGAAATAGAACTTGACATTTGGGAGTTGTAGTTGCTGGGATTTATAGTTCACCTACAATCAAAGAGCATTTTTAATTCCAGCAACAATAGAATTTAACCAAACTTGGCACACAGACCATGACCAACAGAAAATACTGGAAGGGTTTGGTGGACATTGACCTTGAGTTTTGGTGTGTTAGTTCACCTACATCCACAGAGCAGGAGGAGGGCTTTTGGTGGAGGATTTGTCATCTGAGAAGCACAGGCAGAAAGATCTTCAGCCTTCTCTGCCAAAGGGGTTCCTAAGACCATTAGAAATACATGTTTTCTGATGGTCTTTGGTGACCCTTCTGATACCTTCCTCATGATCCCCCAGGTGTCCTGACTCCTAGGTTGAGAAACACTGGTTTAGGGCTTTATAGATAATAACATGCACCTTAAATTGGGACCAGAAACTTATTGGTAGCCAATTGAGCTATTTTAATAGGGGCATTGTGTGCCCCCTATAGCCAGCTCCGGTTAGTAACCCGACTGCTGATCTTTGTACCAGTTGCAGTTTCCAAGCCGTCTTCAAAGGCAGCCCCATGTAAAGTGCATTACAATAGTCCATTCTGGATGTAACTAAGGTATGGACCACCATGGTACAGTCACAGCTGGTGCACAAGCTTTATGAGTGTGAAGGCCCTCCTGGCTACCATTGATATCTGAGCTTCAAGTGTTGGCGCTGAGTCCAGGAGGATCCCCAAACTGCGGACCTGTGTCCTCAGGGGAAGTGTAACCTCGTCAAGCACAGGTTGCCACCCTATACCCCGACTGGCCTCGTGACTGACCAGGAGGACCTCTGTCTTGTCTGGATTAAGCTCCAGCTTGCTGTCCCTCATCCAGCTGCCAGGCACTAGTTTAGGATCCTGGATGCTTCCTTGGAATTTGGTGGAAAAGAGTAGTAGAGTGGAGTGCCACCTGTGTAGAGATGGCATCCAACTCCAAAACTCCGAATGACCTCTCCCAGCGGTTTCATGTAGATGTTAAGAAGCATGGGGGAGAGAATGGAACCTTGCGGGACCCCACAAGTCAATGGCCAGGGTCCGAGCTGGAGTCCTCCAGCTTCACCATCTGGGTGCAATCCTTCAGGAAGGACCGGAGCCACTGCAAAACAATGCCCCCAAGACCCATTCTGGAGAACTGCCCCAGGAGGATACCATCATTGATGGTATCAAAAGCCACTGAGATGTCTAAGAGAACCAACAAGGACATCCTCCCCCTTGTCAAGCTCTCTGCGGAGGTCATCCACCAAAGTGACCAAAGCCGTTTCAGACTGTGAATGGATCAAGAGAATTGGTTTAATCCAAGAATGCCTGGAGTTGAGAGGCCACCGCATGCTGAGGAGGAAAAGGAAAGGGTCTGAGGCTGTTAGGAATGGTGGGAGTTGAAGTCCAAAACACCTGGGGGGAGGACCCAAGTTGGCCCAGGCCTGGGCTATATTGTAAGTGTATTGTCGAAGGCCTCCATGGCCGGAATCACTGGGTTGTTGTAGGGTTTTTTGGGCTATATATGGCCATGTTTTAGAGGCATTCTCTCCTGACGTTTCGCCTGCATCTGTGGCAAGCATCCTCAGAGGTTGTGTCCCCTGAGGACACAGAGACCTCACTACCTCTGAGGATGCTTGCCATAGATGCAGGCGAAACGTCAGGAGATAATGCCTCTAGAATATGGCCATATCGCCCTAAAAAACCTACAACAACCTATATTGTAAGTGGGTATATTGTAAGTGTTTTCTTTACATTTGTAAAATCTTCCTGTCAAGACTTTATATCCTCCCGTCGGTAAGAACTGTTCTGCAATGGAAGAATGCTGCGGAGCCCCTTTCTCTGGAGGTTCTGCAGCAGGAGCGGGATGGCCATCTGCCGGGGGTGGTTAGATTGGGTGTTCCTGCGTGGCACAAGGATGGGGTCTCGCTGTGTGGCCTTTGGGGGAGGGGGGGAAGTCTCTCCCTGCCAGCCTTCCCTGCCGGCGCCAGGCCCAGGACTGAGGGAGAGAGCGCGCGCGCGAGAGAGAGAGAGGCTCGCGCGCTGCGGGGAGCAGCAGCAGCAGCAGGAGCAGCAGGAGCAGCAGGGGCGGCCCTTTCCCTCCGACTCTCCGGCGGCTCCTCCCCTTTAAGGAGCCGGGGCGGGGCTGCGGTTGCTGCAGGAAACCTGTCCTTTAAGAGCGCCCTCTCTCCTGGTCGGCCAGAGCCTGCCTGCCCGCCCCTGCCTCCCTTTCTTCGCGGGAGCTCCTGAGCCCCGGCTGCCCCTTCCTTCCCTCTCTCCCTCCCTCTTCCCCTCCTCGTCGGGCTCGCCATGGTCTCCTGGATCATCTCCCGGCTGGTGGTGTAAGCGAGGAGGGCTTGGGAAGGCCTTCCCACCCCGTTGCTAGGCGACGGGATGGAGATGGGGACGGCGGAGGGCGCGCGCGGGCGCGAGGGGGGGGGTCCTTGCCTCTCTCTTAGGCCTCAGGGATGGAGGGCTGCAGGGGGCCCTCGGGGCGCCCTCCCTCCCTCCCTCCTTCCATCGCGCCTCGGTTCACCCTGACGCGGTTGGGCCCCTCTGGGCGGGGAAGGCCCGCAAGAACCCCAGGGCCTGCCTCCTGGCGGCGGAAGGGGAAGACTGCAGGGCCGCCAGGGACCGAGGAGGGTGCGGCCCCTGCCCTGTGGAATCCAGGCCACCGCTTCGGCTGTCAGGGCTCCTGTGGGAGTTGTAGTTTCACAAGGTCTCGCGCCTCTTCTGCCAAAGAGGCCTGGTGCCCCACCAGACTTACACTCCCAGAATGCCATAGCATTAAACCATGGGGTTCATTCATTCTGTAGTCTAGACCAGGCCTGGGCGAACTTGGGGCCCTCCAGGTGTTTTGGACGTCCACTCCCACAAATCCTCACAGCCTAATAGTGAGAGTTGGAGTCCAAAATATCTGGAGGGCCCAAGTTAGCTCATGCCTAGTCTAGACTAGGCCTGGGCGAACTTGGGCCCCTCCAGGTATTTTGGACGTCCACTCCCACAATTCCTCACAGCCTAATAGTGAGAGTTAAAGTCCAAAATACCTGGAGGGCCCAAGTTAGCTCATGCCCAGTCTAGACTAGGCCTGGGCGAACTTGGGCCCCTCCAGGTGTGTTAGACATCAACTCCCACAATTCCTCGCAACCTAATAGTGGGAGTTGCTGTCCAAAGTACCTGGAGGGTCCAAGTTAGCTCATGCCCAGTCTAGACTAGGCCTGGGCTAACTTGGGCCCCTCCAGGTGTGTTGGACTTCAATTCCCACAGTTCCTCACAGCCTAATAGTGGGAGTTGGAGTCCAAAATACCTCAAGGGCTTAAGTTAGCTCATGTCTAGTCTAGACTAGGCCTGTGCAAACTTCAGCCTTCCAGGTGCTTTGGACGTCAACCCCACAATTCCTCACAGCCGAATAGTGAGAGCTGAACTCCAAAATACCTGGAGGGCCCAAGTTAGCTCATGCCCAGTCTAGAGTAGGCCTGGGCGAACTTGGGCCCCTCCAGGTGTGTTGGACATCAACTCCCACAATTCCTCGCAGCCTAATAGTGGGAGTTGCTGTCCAAAATATCTGGAGGGCCCAAGTTAGCTCATGCCCAGTCTAGAGTAGGCCTGGACAAACTTGCACCCTCCAGATGTTTTGGACTATAACTCCCACAATTCCTAACAGCCAGTAGGCTGCTAGGAATTGTGGGAGTTGGAGTCCAAACACCTGCAGGGCGCAAGCTTGCCCAGGCTTGGTCTAGACACATGCCAGGAATTGTCGCACCTTAAGCCATTATCACTGGAAACCTGCATAAATAAAGAATTCAATTGAATGTCCATGTTTTGATCCCTGCTTCCCCTTACTGTGCCCTCCTTCTTCCAGGCTGGTTTTTGGCACCTTGTACCCTGCCTATTCTTCCTACAAAGCTGTGAAGACGAAAAATGTGAAGGAATACGTAAGTGTGAGGCAATGGCCACCTCTCTGCCGCTTTAAGGGCCGCCCTATTTCCCATAACTACCTTTCACTTGTCTCCCCGCTGCTAAGTTTAGTGGCAGAAAATTGGGAACGTATTCCAGGATGCTCCTCTGCATTGCTAAGGGTATTTGAACAATGTGTGTGTTGTTTGTGAATATAATGTGGAACAGAACTAAAAGGCTCACTTGAATTAATGTGGGTTCTGCTGTAGCCTTAAGCACTAAATGATCATATGTGAACATTCCAGAGGAGCTTCTTAGGATTTTTTATTTGGGCGTGAAAACAGCCTTTTTATCATTTTACCTATCTTTGGTGATGTCACTGCTTCAGCTGCCTTCCATAGTATCGTAGGGTTGGAAGAGACCACATGGGCTATGCATTATGCCAGGCTTTTTGCTGTAAGCGTTACTCCTACAACAGAACATCAGGGATGTGTTTCTGATCACTTAAATCACAAGATCTTCTTGCACACACTTCAATTAACCTTGTAATGGGAATTTTTTTTGACCTTAAGAAATGTATCTTTTTGCATAAAGCATGGTAGGCTTCAGTATTGTTTGTGAAAACACAAATGTTTTCTTCTGTTGCAGATTTCTAGGGATTCTGGATGCTCTGGTGTTGCTGTTGAGAATGCTTGAGGCATTTTATACTCAGAATGCCAATGACTGGGTATTAAATGGCCCATGTGAAAGTCACTGTGAAGCAAAGCGTTTTGAAATCTCATTTTTTTCTTTTTTTTATATTTCTAAATGTGAGGCAATTTTTAGCCATCAATAGTGAAATAATATTTTAGAGCTTTTGGAGGGGAAGCTTTAATGTAACTAGTAAATTTTCAGAGTGGGCTCCTTACTTAAAAGTGCCACCCATAAAGAAACTCTCATGCTATTACTGACCAGCCTGGCCTAGAAAGTGGGAGAATATGAAAAAAGGACTTCAATTTCTAAATTTCATTGGGTAATGAAGCATATGTGTAGGGAGAGATGCTTCGACTTTGTTTGAATTGTATGTTTGAGAAGGGGTGCTTTGAATGCGATTTTCCTGCTTCTTGGCAGGGGGTTGAACTGGATGGCCCATGAGGTTTCTTACAATTCTATGATTCTATGATTGTATGTATTTGCGTAGTGTGACTGTCCTGTCCTCCTACTTACTGTCCATGGCATTTATGCAGTGAGCTTAAAACAGTTACAGGTTGTGTTTAAATACCACGTTGTGATACAAATGCAGCAAATAAATACATTAAGACACACAAAAATAGAACAAAGGAAGAAGGATCAATAAGACATATGTCTATATAGAGATGGGATTTTAAAAAATGAAGTAGCATTATAATGGATTCAGATCAATATGGATACTAATAAACTAACATCACTTCACTACCTCTGAGGATGCTTGCCATAGATGCAGGTGAAACGTCAGAAGAAAATGCCTTTAGAACATGGCCATATAGCCCGAAAAAACCTACAACAATCCAGTGATTCCGGCCATGAAAGCCTTCGACAATACATTTAACATCAGTATTCATAGAACAGTGATTCCAGAATTCAGTTTAGCTAGCTGCCACATTTGGGCCAGCTGAAGGTTCAGAGTTTCCCTGTGTTACACCTTTCCCATTGACTGGGTACCATAAAATGCAAAATCATTGTGTGGTCTTCATTATATAGAAATATTCACAGCGATCTTGCAGTGACAGATTAAAAATGCTCCTACCACTACTGCATGAAAATCTAGTCTGATGCACAGATATAAAAAGCTGCTAGTAATTTTTATTGGGGAATCTGTATTCACCCCTCTCTGTCTCTTAGTAGTGGGCATCTCCACCTTGAGTGTCAGTTCATTTACCCTAATTTAGTGACCTCAAATGGTCAGTCAGATATGTCTGTGCTTCTGTGCTCCAATGAAAAGGAGAAATAGAACTACAGTATATTCTGGCGTATAAGACTACTTTTTAACCCAAGAAAATCTTCTCAAAAGTCAGGGGCCGTCTTATACGCAGGTGTAGTCTTATGCATGGGAGTTGTCTTAACTCTATATTTTAACTGGAAAAGTTGGGGGTCGTCTTATACGCCCAGTCGTCTTATATGCCGGAATATACGGTAGGTGTCATGGTATTTTGATGACCTTATGCTCTAAATCTCTTAATGGCATAATTCTGTGATTCTGTTCTGTTAGTTTAGAAACTTGGGAGGCAAAATAAAATTCTGAGACATCTTGCTCAGTAATTACCCATTAGGGAAAATTGTAGTATCCCAATCCCATCTTCTGAAATGTGGTCAAGTAATAATTGGGTGTAATGGCTACATTGTTAGACTGTGGCTTGGAAGATCAATTTTTAAATATCCACTGAGTTCACTGGGTGGCCTTGGATCCCTTACCCGGTCTCATTTCTGTTATGGTATTATGTAAGAAGGGGAGATAATCGCATACACCATCTTAAGCGCATTGGAAGGAAGATGTAAGTATACCTATGATACTGAGAAGTAAATAAAAGCTGGATCCAACTGTGCAGTTCTCAAAGCTTATCTAGAGAGATACTACAGTTGGTGATACTGAAAGCTGTATTGAGGGCTTGGAGGGTTAAAAAGTTCCACTGTATCTGTTTTCCTGGCATAGATTACCCACTTGGGCAACAAGGTAGTTTCAGTCATGAATCTCAGAAATAAACCATCCTGATGGTTGAAATGGACCTGGAGAATCTACAATAAAACAGCATCAACATTCAGTTCAAATGTAAAATTGATTCTAACAACCCACTATTTCTTTCTTGTATTTATTAAAGTATTTATATCCCGCTCTTCAGGCACAAAGGCTCTCAGAGTGGCTTACAAATGGTTGATTTGAAAGTTTCCTGCCCTTGGGTTTGCAAATTAAATAAGACATGACTCACAAGGAAAAATGCTATTTCAACTGCTTTTGTGCATTTGATGCTGGATCTGCCTCTTCTGCCTATTTGAGGACAGGGCAGTGTCAGTGGGATGAAGAGAGGGCATATCATCTGCTTCTAGGCCTGGGTATGGTGGAACTGGGCTTCCTCTTCTTTTCATTCAGTTCGTGTGGATTCCATGTTAAGACAGGTATTTACCTAATAAACATAACATTTTCTTGCCTCAAAAAGTTTGTATGGTCACTGACTTTGGGGTTGCTGATTCCTGTAAACTGCTGATGGATTTACAAATTGGAACTAGCTTCCATGAATATTTCAGTCAGACATGAGCAAAGTGTTCAGAAGCTGCATACCTCTGCATATCAGTGGATAGTGATAAATGGTGTGTGAGGGCTACTACTTTCATGTATTTTTGGTTTCTTCAAAGCTTCTGGAAAAATTTTTTGAGGGTCAAGCATGTCAGATGAGAATGGATCCTTCATTTAGTTTTGTTGTTTATTCGTTCAGTCACTTCTGACTCTTCGTGACCTCATGGACCAGCCCACGCCAGAGCTCCCTGCCGGCTGTGGCCACCCCCAGATTCTTCAAAGTCGAGCCAGTCACTTCAAGGATTCCATCCATCCACCTTGCCCTTGGTCGACCCATCTTCCTTTTTCCTTCCTTTTTCCCCAGCATCATTGTCTTCTCCAAGCTTTCCTGTCTTCCCATTATGTAGCCAAACTGCTTCATCTGTGCCTCTAACATCCGTCCTTCCAATGAGCAGCCGGGCTTTATTTCCTGGAGTATGGACTGGTTTGATCTTCTTGTGGTCCAAGGCACTCTCAGAATTTTCATCCAGCACCACAGTTCAAAAGCATCTATCTTCCTTCACTCAGGCTTCCTTATGGTCCAACTCTCGCATCCATAGGTTACTACGGGGAATACCATTGCTTTAACTATGTGGATCTTCGTTGCCAGTGTGATGTCTATACTCTTCACTATTTTATCGAGATTGGTCATTGCTCTCCTCCCAAGAAATAAACATCTTCTGATTTCCTGGCTACAGTCTTCACTCCTAGAAATACAAAGTCTGTCACTGCCTCCATGTTTTCTCCCTCTATTTGCCAGTTATCAATCAGTCTAGTTGCCATAATCTTGATTTTTCTGATGTTTAACTGCAACCCAGCTTTTGCACTTTCCTCTTTCTTCTTGGTTAGAAGGCTCCTCGGCTCCTCGCTTTTGGCCATCAAACTGGTATCATCTGCATATCTAAGGTTGTTAATGTTTCTTCCAGTAATTTTAACTCCAGCCTTGGATTTGTCAAGCCCTACGTGCCGCATGATGTGTTCTGCATGCAAGTTGAATAGGTATAGAGAGAGTATACAGCCCTGCCATACACCTTTCCCAATCTTGAACCAGTCTATTTTTCCATGGTCTGTTCTTACTGGTTGTGATACAGATTCCTCAGGAGAGAGACAAGGTGACTTGGTATCCCCATATCACCAAGAACTTGCCACAATTTATTAAGATCCACACAGTCAAAGGCTTCAGAACAGTCAATAAAACAGAAATGGATATTTTTCTGAAACTCTCTGCCTTTCTCCATTATCCAGCGGATATTGGCAATTTGGTCTCTCGTTCCTCTGCCTTTTCTAAACCCAGCTTGTACATTTGGTAGCTCTCGCTCCATGTATTGCTGGAGGCTATCTTGCAGGATCTTGAGCATTACCTTACTGGCATGAGAAATAAGTGCCACTGTACGAAAGTTTGAGCATTCTTTAGCATTTCCATTTTTTGGTATGGGGATATGTTGATTTTTCCAATCTGATGGTCATTCTTGTGTTTTCTATATTTGCTGGCATATAGCATGCATCACCTTGACTGCATCATCTGTCAAGATTTTAAACAGTTCAGCTGAGATCCCATCGTCTTCTGCTGTCTTGTTATTAGCAATGCTTCTTAAGGCCCATTCAACCGCATTCCTCAGGATGTCTGGTTCTAATTCACTCACCACATCGTCAAAACTATCCTCGATATTATTATCCTTCCTATACAGATCTTCTGTATAGTCTCGCTGCCTTTTCTTGATCTTTTCAGCTTCTGTTAGGTCCCCGCCATGT